CATTTGACTCTTAAGTATGAGAAAAGTATAAACTCTTTTATTAATTAATAATTATTTTGATTTGTTCGGCGGATAATTCGGGATCCTTAGACCGACACTTTGGGTAGTTATGTAAGTAATAGTTAGAGGGTTATATTTTTCAATATTTGTATTATTGCTACTTATATTTATTTTGTATTGATTATAGTTGATCACAAAGTAAATTCGAAGGCCTTCATGTGTTTTTAGACAAAATAATTTATTATATATTTATTTATTTAAATTATTATTTTTGTCAAACAAATATTTTATTGTGATTAAGCCAGAAATAATCAATGGTACTAAAATAAATATATTAATTAAGTAGTCGGATTGATGGCTTTATTTATCTGATAACTAATTATGCATAGAGGGGTCAAAGTGCAACATTGACTTAGAGGTTATTTATTATTTAATTGGAGTTCAATTAATTTCTTTTAGTGGAGTAGAAATTAATTTATGAATTAATTGAATTGGGTCCATGAACCGGACCAATTATTAATTCATTATAGCCAATAAAATAATAAGCCCAAAGGATTCTCACTCATAGCCTAACTTGATATTGGAATCTTATTAGATTTGAGACATGTGAATTAAATATTGAGAGGGATTTATTATTTCATTTTCTTTATCTTTATGTTGCCTATATATACATGGTCTATGTATATATTTTAGGTTGTGATTTTTGGAAGAAGAAAAAAAGGAATATATTTTCTCTCTCTAGAAGATTAGGGTTAATGTTCTCATCTAATGGAGGCTCCCACAAGCCTAGTTTTCCAAGGTCATTCATGGAGGCTTATGAGTGATTCCTAAAAGTAAAATAACTACCAAAAAGATTGAGATCCAAGTAGAAGGCATCTTACTAAGGGATCTACAATAAATGAGAACATTCACTTTAGAGGAAAGATTTAAAAGTTTGCTCAGACCTTTGATGTAAGTATTCAATCCATTAATTGAATGATACATCATATTTTATTTTTGTATAAAACTTGTCTCTATGTGATGAATCAAGATCTATAAATCAAAATCTCTCAAAAAAATTTTAAAACTTGCACGTTTCTCAATAATTTTGCCATTGAAATTAGCTAATTAAAAAAATTAGATATCACATCTTACATTACTTACGCATGCTTTTCCATTACAAGATAAGAAAGCTGCACGTTGCTTTGAGATCTCCAAAAAAAATAAAAATAAAAATAAAATAAAATAAAAAATAGATAACATATATTAAGACTCTTCATTACATCACAGAAACAAAGTCTAGCCCGTGATAGCAAATCCCCGTTTGGTAGCATATTTGACAAGCTCGTTCATCTCTTCTTCAGTGATAAATCCATCTCCATTAGCATCTGCATGGCGAAGCGCACGCCTAGCTCTCCAGCTGCCCCAACGCGATCCAAGGCTTTTGAAGGCCTCCTTCAGCTCTTTCCGGCTAAGCTTGCCGTCCCCGTTGGTGTCATATTTCTTGAGAATCGCCTTCAATTTCTCTTCAGAAACAGACATACTTACACCTCTAGAAATAGTACTACTCCACATTGGCATTTTCACTTTGCTTCAATATTGTTGAGGTTGGGTTTTGGAGCTAGGAACAATTTAAGTGAGACCATCTTATAATGTTACAAAGTTGTACCAGTAGGACCAATAAATTTTTTCTTTTTTTTTTTTCAGCTTTTATGTGGTCTCTTTTCTCTCTTTAGTACTAGTGCTGATTAGTAAATTAAAGTAAAACTAATTCCTACTCTAGTGCTAGGATCGACATCTTTAAGAATATATGATCAAAAGATGCATGTATATATTTGATAACAATATCATTCTAACTAAACTAGTTAGGCAATTCTAGATCAAGAATATAACAATTGTTTTATAACTCCAATTATTACAAATATAACCATGAGGACCGAGGAATATGTCAAAAATTTGGGATGACAACAAGACGAGTTTTGGGGATTTTTTCTCGATTCATATTTTCATTTAAGTTTTTTTCATCTCGTACTCATCCAAAATGGTTTAGTAAACAATCCTGCAGTTAAATTCTCACTCAAATTTTATTTTTATTTTTTTAAAAAAAAATTTTGCTCTTAAGTTAGACTCAATGGCTAGAGAAATAAATCTAAATATCCTTATTAGTTTTTATTTTTGTTTGATGAAGAGTTTAATGTAGGGTTACTATTCCCCATAAAGTTTATCTTTGGATGCTCAAACTTTTTCGATCCCCAGTCAATAATTAAGATAGGTATTGGTTCTTAAACATTTTATTGACACACTTCACCAGGGGTGTTGTCATTTGAATACCTCAGCAGCATTGATGTAATAAAATGATAATTTCCTCCCAAATTTTGGTACGAGTAAAGGAGAACATATTTTATCACTTCTTTTTGCCTACCAGAGGCAGGAATCAGATTGCCAAACATATCTTTATTCTTGAACCTAAAGCAAAAAAATTGAGCACAAAGAAGTTGCTTTTGTTGATCGGACAATATTTAACTACTTATCGGTGTATGTGATTCTATTGATTGTTGATATAGTCTAATTATAAAGGACAATATTTGTTTACGCACTTGTGAGTAGGGATGTAATTTGAGTAAGTCATCTCTACTTAATGCTGATGTGGTCCAATTATAAATGCATAGTTTGTGATTGCAAAATCAAGAAATTGATAAATAAGGAAATCAAAGGGGTTGATTGAATTTATTCAAAAAAAAAAAAAAAACTATTGTACTTATTTATCACTTTCCTAATTTTGCAATCACGGACTATGTGTGCATTTATGATTGGATCACATCAGCTGTCATTAGGATGACCTACTCACCATAAATACCCAAGTATTGTCTAATTACAAATGAATAATACTTGACTACTCACCGATGAGTAGCCCATCCCTATTGACAGCGATTATGATCCAATAAAAAATGCACATAGTTTGTGATTACAAAAACTAAAAGTGATAAATAAAGAAGTATTTTTTTTGGAATAAATTTACACCATCCCTTGTGATTTTCTTATTTATCGCTTTTTTTTTTTTTTTTTTTTTTTTTTGTAATACAGACTATATGTGCATTTGTGATTGGTCCACATCAATGATAAGTAATAGCTAAGTATTGTTCATTACAAATACACACATCATTTGTAATTACAAAACCATTGGTGATATTGTCCTTTTTAATTACGGAGTATTTAGTAGGAAGGGTAGTGATAGATGGGCCGATGATTTTGGCAGATTAGTTTGACAAAATACACATGGCAGGTAAGCAACTTTAACAATTAAAAAAAGGAAAGAAAATAAAAAGAGAAACAATATACGTATCCGTAGATTCATCTTTCCTAGGCTGTCAAGTTCTAGGCTAAGTTCTTCTCTTCTGGTAGTTATCAAATCTCTCCCTCTTCGTTTCGTCACTTCAAACAATATTTCTTACCATCTTAACTTCAAGAGAGAAAGAACTTTTAATTATCCAAAAAAAAAAAAAAAAAGAGAAAGAACTTTTGATTTTAAAAGTATATGGTTGCAACTTCATATCACATATCATATTCATATATATTTTTATATATATATATATTGTATCATATGTGTAATTTTTTTTTTTTTTTTGAAGGTAAATATGTGTATTTATTTGTTTGATTATATTATTTTTCATAGTCTGTAAAAAAATTTCAAAGAGTTTCAAAGAGATATTAGAGAGAAAAATACAACGAGAAAAAGAAAGAAAGGAGAGAGAAGAGATGAGAGAGAAAGAAATGGAGATGGAAGTGGCCTAGCTGGACAGGCCAAGTAGTTTCTACCAAAATAATCGGTCAAATATCATTTTCCTGAGTAAGAATGGTAATTGGTCTAGGCCAATTGGGCTGGGCTGTAGGTTCAGCTCATGGCTTTGACAATATATGGGTTGGGCCCAGACAGACAGAAATTTGATACTGTAATAAGCACCCGTGACCTACTCAGTGGTCTTTGTATTCTTCATATTAAGCCTCAGGTCGAACAATCCAAACAAGTTCAAGTCATATTTGAACTGAATTTATAAGGGAAAAAAAAAAAAAAAAAATCAATCATATATTCATGAAGTATATAATGTAAAGGCCAAAAATAATCTTTTGCAGAGGATGATGGGTACGAAACTTTGTCAACACTAGGTAAAGTGACACTTGAATATGATCCAAGTGTAAAAAAGACGGTTATCAAAAATAACATAACAATTATATTAACAAGTCACTTTATTTGGTGTGGATAAAATATCTTACTTATCACCTTGCAATATTAGTCGCTGGGTAGTCTAGTTGGTAGAAGTACTCTCTGTTCCCTCGACCTTGCGAGCCCAAGTTTGATTCCCCAACACTCTCTCATTCCCACTCCCCGACCTTGCGAGGTATGTAAAAAACAAAGAATTGGACTTGCTTGGTTTGTAACTATTGAAACAGTTTTCTGTTTTAAGAAAACTGAAAATAGAAAACTATACAAAAAATTCTGTTTGGTTTAATTTTTTGAAAACTATTTTTTGAAAACTCAGTAATAAAAATATCTATTTTCATAAAACAATTTTTTATAATTTTCTGAAAATTATTCTTTATTTTCTAAATTTCTAAAAACTGTTTTCAGTGAAAATTATTCTTTATTTTCTAAATTTCTAAAAACTGTTTTCAGAATTATAAATTACGCATACCCATAGTCACTACCTCAACTCCATTGAGTTAATAGTTTGTTTTGATCCACTTCCCAAGTGAATCCAGTCAATAATTAGTTTTGATCCACTTTTAGCCCAAGTGTGTCATTTAATTTGGGCCTACAACTTGGATACTGAACAAATTGGACTCAAATTGGTCCAGCCCACAATACATAGATCTCCTATCCCCACGCGCTGATAATTGATACCTGAAATATATTCACAAAATAACCCCCACTATGGTCGTATAATTTCACAATAGCCTTCCAAAATACCCTTAACTGGTTGGGACATTTTAGTCAATACGTTCGCTAGCCGTGACATAATTTACAGTCCTCAGACTTACATCGGTGTCGAAACGAAGCACCGTTTCATCTCTCTTCTTTCTCTCTCCTGGCAGTGCCATGGAGTTCCCAAAACCCTCGTTAGGCCCCCCCAATCATCTCCTCTCTCTCTCATCCTTCATCCGCCAACAATGCCACCGACTGGGTGCCGAACTCGCGAGTCGACTCGAAGAAACCAAGCGATTCGCCGGACACCTCGCCGCTAACTGGCCTCCACCGCCGCAGAAGCGTTCACGTCCGGTGGTACCGTCTTATTCTTCGTTACCTTTTGCATCGGTGTCGCAGCAGGAGTCTCGTCAGGGCAAGCATGCTTTTGATACTGCTCTGAGCTCCGACCATGTCGCCAAAACCCTCGCCGGAACGGCCGTTTACACCGTCAGCAACTCCAATAATGAGTTCGTGCTCGTCTCCGATCCCAATAGCCTCAAATCCATTGGCTTGCTTTGCTTCCGCCAGGAAGACGCCGAAGCCTTTCTCGCTCAAGTTACCTCTCTCTCTCTCTCTCTCTCTCTCTCTCTCTATATATATATATATATATATATATATCCATGTGCGTGCGCATGTTTTGTGTATATATTTGAATTACAATTTATTTGATTTGGTTTTATGGATTGGCATTCAGGTTCGGTTGCGGAAGAGGGAGCTGAGAAGTGGGGCTAGGGTTGTTCCCATTACACTTGATCAGGTCTCAGTCTTTAAATTTTGTTTCTTCATTTCAGTTTTTACATTTTTATGTTATTAGGGTTTTGATGGTTTGTGAGAAAAATTTAGCTAATCATTCAATTATTATGCAAACATTGTAGCTTGTGGATTAAACCCTAATATTCAAAATGCTAGAGGATTTCTTTGAAAATGGCTTGAAATTCAAAGTGGCTGTGCTAAAAGTGTTTATAAGCATAACAAAAAGTCCCAATAAACGGTTTGGCGGGCATGTAACTTTTAAGTTTTAATTTGAATTCCATTACCCATGAAATACTTAGCCCTAATGTCATTAAGCAATTGCCTTCTCTTTGATTCGTATTCAGTAATCTCCTTGATATTCATTAATTACAGAATGAATAAGGAATGCTCTTTGATAGTAACTTGGCTATATATTCTGACTTCCTAATACTGTACTGGATTGCATATATTTGGCAGTCTTAATTGCTATTTAGTATAAAAAATTATTCATTAGATATTATTTATAATAATTTTTTTGGGAAAAAAACAAAATAAAACAAAGAACAATTTGTCGTTAACTAAATTTGTTGTTAACTAAATGATCGTGGACTAAATCTTTTTAGGTTATAAGCCACTCATTCTGCTTTAAAGTGTGGCAGCTTGCTGTAATGCTGTGCAGTTATATTCATGTTATTTATTTCCTTGGTTTATTTAACTATTTTGTTATTTCATAGTATCTTCACTCGTTTAATTTCTTCTTTTTTCCTCTCCTTTAAAATTATAGGTCTACATGTTGAAAGTTGAAGGAATTGCATTCCGGTTTTTGCCTGATCCTGTTCAAATAAAGAATGCTTTAGAGGTTGGTATTACATGTGTTTCCTAGTTTGTGCAGGTTATACTAATGGCATTCCTTTAACTAAATTGAATCACTTTAAGCTATACTAGTGCCACATCCAGCTGCTGAGTTTGCAACTTGAAAGAGATTGGATATTTCTCATCACATTAGTCTTTGTAACCAACACGGATATGCTACGGATACGGTCTGATATGTGTCCTATACAGCTAGAAAGTATCCAGAATTGTATTTATTTATTTATTTTTCAAAATTGGATCTGGTTGGGATACGACAAGATACTTATGGGATACGTCTGGGCAAAATTATAAATATTTTCATAAATAACAAGTGGCTAATTGTAACAATAAAAACATTCATTGTTTAAAAGAAAATAAAACAAAAACGTCTTATAAGTCTAGATCAATACTAATCTGACACTCATCAACTTAGTGAGAGAGCGAAATATAAAGAAGAAGAATAAGGAGGAGGGAGATCCAATGTCTGCTAAGGGATGTTGTAGTCTAAAAATTAGTTTTTTTATATGAAAATATAATATATTATTATTTTATTGCTGTATCTTGCCATACACATCTTGTTTTTTGGAAATTTGTTGGATTGCTATATCCGTGTCGTGTCGTGTCGTGTACATATCTGTGCTTCATAGCTGTCATCTATTAGTCTATTTCTTGTCAACTGATATTGTTGATGAGTTAAAATAGTGTTGATGTGATGTAAAGTGAAAAGAATACCCTTATTTATAGTGTCATGCTTGCATCATTGCAAAAAGAAGATATAGTGATAAAATTTAGTGGAATGATAGCTCATATCATTTAACATTTTCCATTCCTTGCATGCAAATTTATTGATCAGATATATTGTCCATTCATTATCTTCCATATGGACCATATCTAATGTGTGATTTAACTCTAGTCTTCTTACTAATAGAATGATATTTATCTATTTTAAGTTTATTCATTTATTGTATTGGTGGATTAAAATTCAAGTGTTACAGCAAATGCATTACCTTTTGCAGATTAAGTACTACTTTATTTGTTTACAGATCACTCCAGTACTTCTCTTTTTAATTGAAATGTTAGATCAAAAAGTAGTCCTACTTCAAAGTATGTTGGGTGAAGACAAACCATTGTGTGATTTTTGCTATGTTTAAAATTATGTATTCTCCAAGAAAAAATGCAGTTCAATTTCTTCCAAATATAAGTTGAATTTTCTAGAGCAATTTGATGCCCCAAAGATGGGGAAGTAGTTGGCAAAGCACTTGAATAAGAAGCACTTGAATTAGCAGGCATTTTGGCTTTTTCTTCCCTGGAGAGAAATATGTTTTTTATTGCATATTTATCTTATAAAACAATTTTAAGAATTGCATAATGTAGAAGATGACGTTAAGCAGATATCATAAAGATTATTATATTAAATATGTCTCCTACTATATTTTTGTGATTACGATTATATTCTTGTGCTATATTTAGAAGTGTTCTTTGTATGCTTCACTTAATGGGGTCATGTGGATACTTTAAGTTGGGAGTGCCTAAGATGTGTTGCCCATGCATCCAAGAATAATGAAACTTAATATGAAATTTTGGACTTGTTCACAAGGTGTCATATAGGAGTCTAAGAGTGCTCACAAAGTGTTGGCATCAGCCACATATTAAAGGAGGTAACGACACCTTCGTAGAAGTGTCCTTGCAATTTTGTCTATCTGTAACAAGTTTTCATGTTCTACTCGGTAATTGTATTTATTCCTTATGAATGTCAATCCTTATTCTGATATATTCTGAATTATTCAAAGATGGGCTAGAAATTGTGGTGTCTTGGGTCACATGAGGAAGACCATTGGTAAAATATATTCTTTGAAAGAGAAGTTTTGACAGAATGACCCTTAGATACCACATTAGAAGGGTGTCTAGACAGCAGCTTGTTCCTAATCTGTCTTAACACAAGTATTTGATGCATGTTTGATTTATCAGCGAAACCATACTATACGTGGCTCACATTTACGTTTAATGTCTGGTAGCTGAAAGCTTCGGATATCAAAAGTGGGTTTGATGGAGTTCCAGTCTTCCAGGTATGCCTAATTACTTGTAATGTGTATTCTTTTCAAATAGTCACCTCGTAACACATATTAATGCACCTTATTAATTGTTACCACATATTTTATGCATGAAGGAAAATCATTTTGAGTGTTTATTAGGTTGTAACTGATGTGGAGTTTTTCAATTATAAAACCACTCACAATAGAACGAATCCTTGTAGGATAGGGTTATATTGAGGGTGTCGAACCTCAAGGACCTTGTTGGAATTGTTAAGTATGAAATTGGTTTCGATTTGGTTCAAGAGAAAGATTGATTGGTGTTTTTCAACTTCTAACTTGCAAAGAAATTAAAGAAAACTAAAATTGAACTAAGTTAAGAGAGAATAGGTATCAAGAGAAAGGAACTTAGGGGATTGATTTCACCACTAACCTCATAATCATGGCCAATTATCATAAATTTGGGGAAATAATCATCATGTGTATTTTAAAAGTCATCAACCACACAATGATCTTGTCAAGAAGATTTACACAATCAATTACTAAGTATAGCTCATTTTCGGTTAGCACGAATTGTCTTCCTAACTATAATCTAAGGTTTAATACAACCCGTCTTCCCTAAGCATGAACTATCAAAATACTTTTTTGTGTAAACAATTAAAACCATTGCATAATTATCATCCCAATAATCACAGAAAATAAGAATGATTTGAATTCAATTTTTTTTTTTTAAAAAAAAAAAATCAATTTCTAAGACAAGAAAATAATTCCATTTAAACTGATTATAAACTTTAAAATCCATATACATCAACTAATGTAATTCTCACAATTATACAATCAATACTCATGTATATAAAAATCAACTAAAGTAATTCTCACAATTCTTACAGCACTTTAAAATTATTTCTGCATATTTGGTGGACGGGTGCCTATTTACATCATTCCTTTGGCTCTTATATGTGATTCACATACTTGACTGCACTTATTGCTAGTTAGCCAAATCATATTTTACTTTAAAGAGCTAAATTTTATATTCCGTTAAAAGTGCATTAAAATATGCACAAGTGTGTCTGTACATACACATGTGATCTGTACGAACTATATGTGTTGTGAGATAACCTGATTATATTCACCCACATTGTTGGCTATGCACCACTCAGTAGGACAGTTGTATTACTGTCCAAATGGGTCATATATGTTTGATTTTGTGTTCTCATGAGTATTTTTCTGTCGACAGTCGGACCTACTGGTTGTGAAGAAGAAAAATAAACGTTACTGTCCAATTTATTTCCGAAAGGTTTGTTTGAACCATTGAGCTTTCTTATAGACAGCTTGTTGGCAACTCTTAACATGTTATAAGATGCAATTATGAGTATGGCGCTTACTGTTTATAGTTTGCATGTGTCCGAAACAGGAAGACATAGAGAAAGAACTGTCGGCAGTCTCTAAGGCATCCAGAGTACCTGGGGTTTCTCAACACATTATGGTACCACAACTTGCCATTATTTTTCTGTCACTATTGCTATTTTTTTCTTTTTCATAATCCCCCTGCCAGACATCCTAACACTTCCACATGAACACTTTCTGATTGCCCAAATGGTTTCTGTGTTCACTTGGTAGTGGATTTGTTATGTTTGAAATTCTTATCTGTGTCAAAAACAATGTGGGAGATATAGATGCTATTTTTATTGCTGAAAATTCCGCGAACTTCTTGGAATCGTTATATTGGATCTGCGCAGGCTACACTTTTATCCTGCTTTTTGTGCTTTATACCACTTTTCTCTGCAAGTTGTGAATTTTGTGAAAATGTAATATGTTATTGCTTTCAACAGGTGGGAAGTTTGGAAGATGTTTTGAAGAAAATGGAGGTATAATAGGATCCGAAATTCTGGATTAACTGAATTGGTGATTTGTTTTCTTTTTGGTTCTTAATATTGGAATACATGTCATTTTGTTGTTCAATGCCAGATCAGTGAGAAGAACTCGGGCTGGGAAGATATGATTTTCATTCCACCTGGTAAAAGCCACTTTCAACACATTAGTGAATTGGCAAAAGCATGATAGATTAGATGTGGAATAATCTCTACTGACCACATGAGAGTTTGTAGAAGCAGGCACACACATTTCATCTTTACAGGATCCTATCGTAGCAGGTCAGCCGTCATATCTAATTAGGAAATCTCTCTCTCTCTCTCTATCTCTCTCTCTGTCTCTGATATTGGTTTCGATAGCTCAAAGATACAGAGAATAAATGCATTATTGGTTTAAAATGAATAACAGAACAACTAACATGTGATAAAATGCCAACTTGGACACTTGGGAAACATATATATTGTATATTTACAGTGTCATTGTTTTAAGTTGGTTCGTAATTTGAAGTGTATGAATGAACAGTGAGCTTAAGAAATAGCAAGACTCTGAACTCACTTATAGATTATATTGCTCTGTTGCACCCTGGCTATCTATATGTGAAGACCTCGAAAAGCAACTCCAAGTTAACGGGATTATGAAGAGCGATTCTAGTTATACTGTGACCTCACACGGGAGGAATTTTGTAGGTAGATATGGCAAGACCGGTGTTAAGCCTCCGTTCCTCTTTTGGAATGCAATGCAACCCCATGAATGCTTGCATTGTAAGGCCATTGTTTGTGCAGAAGCTCTTCATTAGATCATTTATCTAACATGGATAAAATACTGTATCAAATACTATGACATGCTGTTTGGTATTGTAAGTAAAGAAGAATCATATATATATATATAAGCTCCGTTAGAACCAATGCGCAAAGCCAAAATGGTTTTGTGAAGCTCCATTTGCGATTACTTGTCAATCACCACCACAACTCAATTTTGATCCCACTTGAGGCAATAATGAATTAACTGCTTCGCCCCAACATCAAGCTTATAATGATCTCATTCAATCAAAAAGGCAAAGCATAAACAACTGTTAAACCTCAAACAATATCTACAGATCATCAAACCCCAAAATATACACCACACGAGACACTCGAATTCATCAATATAAGTCAAACAAGAGCCTATAAGCACAGTAACTTGGGGGAATTGGTTTCAAGCCCAGGATCAGAGTGACTGCCATTAAAACTCTCCTGATTGGCGTAATCTTTGTACATGCAAAGAATGTCATCAGAGCAAAAAATGGAACCTTTTGGAACCCGAATTGTTACGACCTGACGATCGAAAATGCGATTCATCATTTGAGCAAGCGATCGTGATGTGAGCAAATCGGTGTTGTGCTACAACTAGTTTGGGTGGTGGTGGAATACGTTGTTGTTGTTGGTAGTGGTGATGGGTCTGGCAAAAATATCCATCATGACATAAATTAGTGATATAATACCTGTTTTGCTATTTTATTCTTCCGAAAATGCCCAATAGAGTATATATGTTACTAATCTCATAGTATATGGGTGTTATGTGCACATTACTTTTTACTATGTTTTTTTGAAACTTTTTTTTTTATGTATATCTCTAAACCTTTTTTTCTTTTTTAACTTTGAGAATTTGTAGAACAAGGATTTGAAGTTGTTGAGATTTTAGTTTACTATTTTCTACTAATTTTTTTTTCCTTACCAACACTGTTAAACGAAAAAAAACAAAAAAAATCCCAATATCAGTGTACACTGGTTTTTTGTATTTGGAACAGATTTGTTTTCTTTAGTTTGCACTTTATTTTCGGTTTTTATTTTCTATTTTTATCTTCACTTTTCTTTTATACTTTTCTTTCTTTTTTTTAAAAAATTTTTATCTTTATTTGTCCATTGCCAACGTCCTCCAATAGTGTCCTTTTCAGTCATTTTATAAAATTATTTATTTTTATAAAATAGTTTAATAAGGATAATTTAGTTAACTTAGGGTTTAAATTTCAAATGGGCCTATTTGTATCAAATTGAAACTTTAGGAGTGTTTTTCGTAGGTGAGGAGTGTCCTCTAATAGTGTTATTTTTTGTTATTTTACAAAATTATTTAGTTTTATATATTTTATAAACTGGTTCAGTAAGGGTAATTTAGTTAACTTAAAGTTTAAATTTTTTATGACATATTTGCACCAAATTGAAATTTTAGGAGTGTTTTTTTTTTATATGGGGTGTGATATGCACTGTAAGAATACTTTAGAGATACTTTCTGCACTTGACCCGTATATATATATTACGTGAAAATATTTTTAAAAAATTTATTCGCCAAAACAAACGGTGTTGTAGAAACAATTCAATTCATTCATTCACATGTGTTGTTTCACACATCAACCTTGAATCAACCACATAATTGAAAATAAGTGTTGTTTCAGTTGTTTTCCCTCATGGTAGGTGTTCTCCTCTGGTAGGAATGCCTCTGTAAATCAGAGTGTTTCCTTCTTCTCTTTCTCGGTAGTGGTGTTTCCATTAGCTGTGGGGAGAGGGGTTTTTCTTTTAGTTTTCTTTTGTCTAGTGTGTGTATGTGGTTCGTGTAATATCACCATTGGCTGGCCTCTCTCAGCCACTCATTTCTCTTTCTCTTTTCCCTTTATTTTAACACATATTTTTCTCCTCTTATTTTCTCCTCTATTGTATGTAACGCTTTGTGCTTTTTCAGTGTTCTGGTCTGTTCTCTTTGTTTGGGTTCCTAAGTTTTTCTTTTCTTGTTATCCTTCTCTTTCTACTTCACTCTTTCCATGGATCAACATTTGGCATCTATGATTGAAAGTTTTTCCCTTATGGAAAAGAAGAGTTCCCTTATGGAAAAGAAGAGTAAGATTTTGGTGTTATCCGAGGAGGATACACGTGTGGGTCTTCAAGCTTGTTCTTTAAGTCTCTTTGCTAAAATTTGGATAGATCGAGTCTACAAAATTAGCTGGGTTCAATAGGTTTTGGGTGATCTTTGGGAGATGGAGGATTCTCTGGTGGTATACAACATTGGACCCAATATTTTAAAACTCTTGATTTCGGATGCTAAGGACCGGGAGAAAATTTTGCAAAATGGGTCATGACACTGTGACAATCATCTTATGGTTATCAAACAATGACATGATGGCCTCCAGTTTAAAGATGATTTCTTCCTACGATCAGCCTTCTGGATCCAGGTACTTAATCTTGAGGTTTTTTTACCTAACTATGGAGGTGGGTGAGAGGATTGCTAATGGTATTGATAGGTGTCTTAAGGTTGAAATCAGAGATCAAGGGTTAAAAGGTGGTCTCGTCCTTACCTCCGACTAGAGATCGATATTTCAGAACCACTTCAGAGGGGGATACAACTCCAATCTAGTAAAGATCAAACCTTTTGGGCTCCTTTTGGTTATGAAAAATTGCCTATTTTTTGCTATTTCGGTGGGAAAATAGGTCATACTGATACTTCATGTTCATTAAAGGCGGAGTCTGGTGTTCCAAATTATGTTCAGCATAATTGTTATGGTCCTTAGTTGAGGTTTAATGGCACTATTATTGGGAAACAGGTTCATCCTTTGTCCGGCGTTTCAACATCAGATGGTCGTCCTCCGGATGAAGTGTTAGAGCAACATTATTTTCAGAAAGCTTCTAGTTCAAGGGAACAGTCGACTTTGCCGGCGACATTATCTCCCTCTTGTTTGCCATCATCGGTGTTTAGACAACGGAATCAAGGTGGTAAAAAATATGTGTACGAGTTGAAAAAGCTTTCTTGTCCAGTCCCATCAAAGTTTTTATCTTCTGCATGACGCTGTCAGGGGTTAGAGGTGTCAGAATCTTCTCAGTCACGCCAGATAGTTCAAGAGCAGTCTAAGACTTTCGCAGAGACACGTTGGGTTTCGAAGGAGGCTCTGATTTATCTTGATGGGCCAGTACCTCTTTTGGGCCCTAGTGCAGAGGATGTTGGCCCAGATGATCAATTGGAACTAGTCTCAGACCAGCCTATGGAACACTTTCATTCTCAGGCCTACATGATACATTTGGGTAAATATTATGCAGCAGAGTTCAAACAGGTGTTGCCAAGTTGGGCCCTTCACTTGCAGGTAAATAAAAATCCCAAATCTTCTTCATCTTCTTCAGCAAGCAAGTCTAAAGTTGGGAGGAAAAGGCGGTCCTTATCTTCTGCGTCATCTTCGGAAGGAAAATCCAGAAATAAGAAAAGAAAAGCTGTGCTTACAGATGCTCTTCTCCGAAGTGAGAATCAATTAAGTGATGTTTTGGTCTCTCTAAGCTTTGATCGTGACCAATGTCTTGCTAATCTCCTAGCTTGTGTCCCTAAATCCAAACGTGCGGTGGAGGAAGCTAGCCGAAAATGGCCCCAAAGTGATCAATAAAGCTTATTGTTTGGAACTGTCAGGGTGTGGGGAACCCCCTGACAATCCAACAAATTAAGAGGCTAAATCGGCTTCATTCCCCATGTATTTTGGCTCTTGTTGAAACAAAAACTGGAAAAAATTCAGCATATGCTTGGGTTTCCTTTTGCTTATATTTCTGACCCTGTTGGTAGAGTAGGTGGTTTGGTTTTGTAGTGGAAATTTGATGTTTCTCTTCAAATTGTCGATTCGAACAATTTCCATATTACGGCGATTATTCAATCTCCTTATCAAGACCCTTGGACTCTGTCCATTATCTATACTAGCTCAATTGATCGAATTAAATCTCAACAATGGGCATATCTGGCGAATTTATCACACAATTGGCCATCTAGATGGTTGGTAATTGCTGATTTTAACGATATTGTCTACGTGTCTGAAAAATGCGGTGGTGTGGCAAAGAAATGGTGGAGGCTTCGTAATTTTAGATCTTTGTTGGACCAGTGTCATTTTCGTGATTTGGGGTATGTTGGTTACCCATTTACTTGGAACAATCAAAGATCGTTGGGGGGGTGGGGGATAGAGCATTGGCTACTGATGCTTGGTGCTTGAAGTTCCCGAATGCGAAGTTGGTCCATCTTGCTGCTGCTAGGTCAGATCATCATGCTCTTCTTCTGGATCTTCAGCCTTGTATTCCTAGAAGGAAAAGACAATTTCATTTTGATGCACGCTGGCAGTTGGATGATCAATGCCGGTCCATTATTGATTCCTCTTGGAAAACTCCTGCGCATGGCTCTCGTCAATTTAATTGGGTGGTAAAATTGAAATGTTGTAAGAAAGGCAACCTATGTAATTCGAAGGTGAAAATTAAGGCTGTTGAGTACTAATTAAAGTTGATGAAAGAACGTCCCTTAAATTATAACCATTCACAAGTTGAAGGGGCAAAACAAAAATCTTCAGACTTATTGGCTAGAAGAGGAGTTATATTGGAAGCAAAAGTTTCGAAATCAATGGTTATAGTTTGGAGACAGAAATTCGAAGTTCTTTCATATTACTACTCAACGTAGGAGGGCGCAAAATGCTATCACGGGTATCCGGGATGATCTAGGAGTTTGG